ATCAATGTCTCCAAGGCATCCATGACGCCACACTTCCGTCCTTCAGATTCTGCCATTCCATCGGTCATGTGGCGATTAAGACCAAGCAAAATATGATTGCTGAGTCGTCCATATTGGGCGTTTGTGAACACCATTTATAGATATAACAGTCGTCAATCGGTCCCCAATCAACGCTATGCGAGGTGCGATGACGCAATAAAACAATGACAAAGGAACATATTAACTAGGAAGAGAGACTGTGTTGTCCAGAGTAGTCTTTTCCACTTCAAGGAAATGTTCTACATTTGGAGAAATTGACGTCGGCATCAGGTATGATGAAATACGCTCACTTAAAGCTTTCGGCATACTTTTAAGTGGAAAAGATTGCCCGTGGTGACAATTGCTCTGTTATGTTAATATTTTCCTCAGTGCATCATTGTTGATTGCGTTATAGCGGCATGCACAAGAATGGCTGAGGGCCACTTGGCGGACGTTATATCTGAAAATCGTGCTCACGATCGCCAGATATGAAGGACTCGACAGTTATAGTTGTCTTGGTCTTGACCCGCACATGGCTAATAAAATGGCAGGATTTGAATGACGTCATTGTGCCGTGATAGATGCCCGGGTGACATTGAAATAGTATCCTGAAAGAGCCCGCACATCTTCGCGGGTGTGTACTTCAGAAACTAGAGGGGACTTAGTCTTTGGAAGTGCTGGGCTGTGAACTGTACCGAATGATCTTCAATATCGCGATTTCAGTTCAAAACCCCATGTAGAAGCCCTCACCCCTAAAAACAGGACAAATGTGGAACATTCCCTTCAAAAGTATGCCAATAATTATGAGTGAGGCTTATTCATTCTATCTGATGCCCGCTTCGGTATCTTCAAATGCGGAACATTCCCTTTAATCGAACAAGTGTGATGCACTTGCAGCTGAAAACGTTATATCAGCCTATCGAAGTGACAGTCGAAACTTGGCTGATTAAGTAGTGCGACTCACCTGCTTCGACAGAAGCAGATGGCAGGCCCAAAATCACCTTGACATTCGCTCAGGTAAGAAGGCTGGCCATTCTTTTCTATTTTACTACTCAGAGTGTGTCTGTCTGTCGTATTTTGCCATTTAAACCGTGTGCAGGCCAGGCGGCGTTTCGCTTAAAAATGAAATTTGTATTCGGTGCTAGTGAAGACGACATGAGGCGCCATCAAATTTCGTGCCGGTGGAGTCAAGGGACGCCGCGTGGCGCGTGTTAAAAATTGTTTTTAACCATTGACTTTGCATAGACGGTACGAATAAGCAGCCCGAGCAATAGCCGACGAGTGGTCGCTCGGAACCGTGACCGCACCACGGCGACAACAGCTTGGAGCGACGCGAGATTAACACGCTTTGAAAGAGCAATGAAAGGAGAATTGCGCGGTGCCACATGTCAGGCTGCATGTATCACCTGTGGCGTACACAGCTGCGTCGACAGTTACCCGTTTTTGACCGTTTTTCACGTTAAATGCCGCATTTTGCAACCAGAGCCGGTGGAGCGGTGAAACCAAATTCCAAGCATCGACCAACAAAGTGTAAAACGCTTTCGTCAAAACCGCTGCACACAAGCATGCGCACACACACACACACACACACACACACACACACACACACACACACACACACCCACACACACACACACACACACACACACACACACACACACACACACACACACACACACCACACACACACACACACACACACACACACACACACCACACACACACCACACACACACACCACACACAACACACCCACACACGCACACACATACACACACCACTCATCAATGAAGCGTAGTCAACCCTGAGTAGTGAACCGTAGTCTGCCTCCGCTGAATCTGACCAGCCGCGTCACCAGCCGCTGGACCGGCCCCCGTCTGGCGGCGAGGTGTCACCACTGGTGAGGCAGGCAGGCCCAGGCCAGCAGGGTCGAGCCGCGGCCGGCGGTCGTTAGTGCCAGCCTGGTTACGGCGGCGGGCGAGCGGCCACAAACGGCCCAGGGACAGCTTCGCAGCGGCCGGCGCCACTCCTAACTCTGGCACTCCAAGGACAGCCTGGGGTGCGCCAACGGAGATATCTGGAACAGAGCAGCAGTCGTTGTGTGCTGTGTTATTAGCACCCGCCCATTTTCATTTTGTGGTTGATCTCAGTGCAAAAGTGAATGCAACCAAACCTCTTTTGGAGCAGCGTCATGATCTCGTTATATCAAACACTCATTAAGAACATCGAATAGTCGCTCTGGTAATTTGATGTATCCCGATCGGCCAACTGTGTGTGTTGACCCAGTCCGGATACAAGCAGCAGTTCGCCGTTGACTTTAGTCCCAAATTCGTTCGTGATATTGCTGCAGATTTGCCTGTGATTGCATGCTCTTTGCATTCACATGCTTGGTTATAACGGATTTCATAATTTATTCGACTCACAGTCTTCTTATCTCATAATTCGTACCGCTGTCCAAAATCCGTCATTATTCAGCGC